GCAATCCACAATTGTTCTCCAGCCTCCTCTGATGTAGTTCTTAAAACTGTTTGCTATGGTGAAAACTGCCAAAGTTGCCATCCTAGGCTTCATGTCATTGCTGAAGGCATACAAAGTTTCTTCTGCAGAAGCATAAGGGTTTAAGAGTGTGGTGAATTTGCAGAATGTGCAGACGAGCTCATCCAGTGTATCATCCAACCCATACTGACATATTCTGGCTACTGAGAATAATGCTTCGATGCAGTCGTTGAGGACTTCTTCCACATCAGCCTGTTCGAAAATCGCTGCTAAGGTAGCAACAGAGGGGCCTGCAATAGAAGCAAACAAGTCTCTTCCCAAGCGACGATCGAAACCACACATGATATAGGGACTCATACTCTTGGATCTGTTTATCAGCTGAACCCATTGATTCGGATTCATTTCGACCCATGATGAGGACGAAGATTCGAAGACTATAGCATTGGTTGAAATTGAATGGAAAAGGTCAGAGAGATACTCTTTGGGAAGATCTTGTCCTGCATTGATTGCTCTGTTGTTCTTGATGAACTCATCTTCTGTCATCTTCTTCTTCACTTGGGGATTGTGCTGATCAGTGTTGAGCATGATGACCGAATAACAGAGAACCAGAACTGCATCTTTCCCACAAAAGAACTCCGAGCATTGTTGATCATAAAACCTCTCGGCGAATGCCTCGAGCACCCTCTGAATCTTCTGCGACTCTCCCGGCAACCTGAAAGATTCCAAGAATGTCCTCAAGGCATTATCCAAAACCATTCCGGTGAACTCAAATGTGTCTGTGAACTCCTTGAGGACTTTCAGGTGGAAATCATCGGGATCTCCAAGATACTCTCCAATCAACACCTTGTCCAGTTTCGGCGTGTACCTGAAAAGGAAAATTCTTAGGGCTTGTTTCGTGAGCACAAGAGATATCAAAAGTTGACATATAGGGCATGGTATTTTGGGTCAAAATTTCAGAGTTAGATGTTGGTAGAAACTGGAAGAAGCTCAAAGAAACTAAAAGGACTTGGAACAAACTAGAAAGAGTTTGAAAACTGGAAGAAAGAAAATTCTTAGGGCTCGTTTGGTGAGCATAGGAGATATCAAAAGCTGACACAAAGAAGGATTTTTCACATACATCTCATGTTTTTCAAAAATCTCTTTTTGATGCCAAAAGTTGTGTCCCTATTGGTGCACATTAAGAATTACTCACCTGAAAAACATAGCATACGCTTTCGGATCGGGTGTTTCGGACACCAAGCTCGAAATCTTCAAGTAATCCAAACCCTTCTTGCAGTCCCGATTAAAATGATCTCCGGCAATCAGTATCTTCCTCTTCTGAGCCTTCCTCACCCTCACAGTATCAATCCAAGAATCCAAGTCCACATCCTCCTCCCAAAATGGCGTGTACTCTGTGATTTCAACCGGGTACGGCCCAGAAGGAGTGGAATCTTCTTCCCTGTCAATGTTCTCTGCAACATTGTGGATCACAGTTACCAGGCCTTCAAAGGCTTGAAGTTGCAGACTGGTTAAAGCAGGGCCTGAAGGATAAGCATGGCGGCACAAGAGCCTCCCTGTGTCCTCGAACACATTTCTGAAAGTGGGGTCGCAGTCGTAGTTCACGTACGCTTCCACCACGAACCTGGGCTGCCTGCAGAAGTTTACCAACCCTTCAATGGCTACTTCTTGGAGGGTCAAGACGTTTCCTGTACTTGCAGCTTTAAACAACACAAATGAGAAGAAGGCTTCCAGTTGAAGACGAACTGACCTGAGATTGTAAGTTATATAACCATCATTATCACATATCTTTTTAAAAAAACATACTTCATTAGAGATTCTCTTTACTCACCGGGATTATAGAGATGCTCTGTTACTCACCCGGGAAGGAAGTGATAAAGATTCAAAACAATGCTGCAAATCATGGACAAAACCAGAGGCCTGCCAGTGGAGCATCCATAATGGATCAAATGGTGGAAAAGATCGTCCTGAATCATCCTCAACATCTTCGGATGCATCCCCATGCTATCGCCGCCCAACTCCACGGCGGAGTTTATCACCGCCAGCGAGAACAGCTGGACGCTCTCGTCCGAATCCCCCGCCCCTTCCGCCGCCACGTTCAGCAGGGAGCAGAGGAAACGGAAGATGTCGAGGGCCGCCCGGACGCCGTACCCGCCGGAATCCTCCGCCGCGATGGCGTCCTCCCAGTCGTCCGACTCGGGGTTCTCGCCGGCCGCGGCGGCGCTCATCACCTCCGGCAGCCGGGAGAAGACCGTGCAGATCAGATCGTGCATCGTGAACCTGGCGGTGCGGTGCAGTAAGTCGCCGCCGCGGCCCGCTGATTGCTGCACCACCTGGAAGCACGAGCTCACCGCCGCGCATACCGCCTGGTCTGTTAGCCAGACGGATGCCGGGTGAGCCATGATCGCCCCAAGTACCTGAGATATGAAACAACCACAGAATAATAGTGTTAGGGACTGCATTTGATTCCATAATTGCTGACCAAACACCAAAGCATATCAAAACCTAAATAATTTTATGTAGATTTTATAACGTATAGCATTTCAACCATGCTCTAGGTACCAACAAACAACCTCTTACTCGATTGTGTCTAAGCAATTCATATAGTCTATATTTTATTTAGTTAATTCACAATAAAATAATTATAGTAAGTTAATTAAACTATAGTCTAACTTTAGCAGGTATTCCAAAAATATAGTGACATAAATATTCGAAAATGTGTTTTCTTGAATGCATCAGAACAATGTATAAAAAGAGAAAATATTAATCAAATCTCTAGGAAGAATTTGGATTGGAAGGCTATTCAAAAGCATGGATCATTTATTAAAAGGCTTCTTTTTTTAATCCAAAGTTTAAACTTTGAGCCTCAACTTTTTGTATTAATGGAGAGTTTAATTGAAAAGAAAAAAAAAATAAGAATAGAGGAAGTACATCTCTCTATCTCTTTAGACCTGCAAAATCTTCATCATGATGCCATCAACGGAGGCCGGGTCAGTTTTCTCAAGCCGGCAATTTGTGACGGCGGCGACCGACGAGTTTATAGCTTCCCTGGCGCCGGGGGACTTGTGGTCAAACACATCAAACTTAAGGATCTTGAGGACGGAGGAGAGCGCCACCCCGGTGGCGGCGGCGGGGACATCGTCGCCGTGAACGACGTCAAGGAACGGCAGGAGGTACGACGAAGGGTCGAGGCTGCGCCACTCGTGTCGGGGGTTGAAGATGAGGGAGCGCAGCGATTTGAGGGACTGGGAGATGTGGGTCTCGTAGCGTTCCGCCGGCGGGAAGAAATGGGCGGTCGCCGCCTCCGGGCAGCGGCGGATCACGGCGAGGACGGCGCCCACCTCCGTGTTCAGCATGCATGAGATTCCCAGCTCTTTTCTTTGCTGGTTTATTACTGTCATGTTTTTTGTTTTCTTTCTTTTTGCTCCTTATTAACCATTTAGTTTAACTCCTAATTATTATTGTAGTTTTTAATTTGGAAATAGCGAAAATTTCCATAACAACAAGCTTTCAAGTATATTTACCCTTTAAAATCTGTAACTGTTAACTACCGGTCAACAACCTAAATCAACATTTGTTTTAATCCACAAACAATGTTCCATTTGCGCGCGCCCATTAACATCCCTCGCTTTTCTTGCTTGGGTCTCATCAATTAACATTTAACAATATAATTAGAATGTCCGAAAATAGACAATTAACAATCAAACTAAATAAAGGTAATTGTTAAATATATTAATTATTTAATATTATACGGAGTATATTATAATTATTATAATTATGGTTGTTACTTATTATAGTTAGATATTTATTATATAATATTACCTTATATAATAATGAGTAAATTCCATGAATGGTCCTTTATAATAGGGGAGTTTCCATATTTAGTCCTCTATTATCAAATATTACCCCCGTAGTCCTTTTTTAGGGGTACCTTTCCACAAATTGTCCTTTTTTTGATCTTCTGTCGTGTTGGTGTTAATTTAAAGGCTAAAAGTATAATTTGACATCAACATTATGTTTAGTGACGTGTTCTGATACTGGTTAAGCGGATAACACAAAAATAATGACTATGGTTGTGGGCTAGGGTTCTGACGAAAGACCACATTTGTAGACTGTGGTTGTAGTAGAAAGCGACTGTAATTCACAAACGACGCAAACGGAACAGCCTTTGAAATTGTGTATGACAAAAAAGATATATTATCATTGTGAAATTACACTTTTAGCTCTCAAATTAATACCAACATGATAGAAGATCAAAAAAAGGACTATTTGTGGAAAGATACTCATAAAAGAAGGACCACTTGGATAATATTTGATAATAGGGGACTAATTAGGGAAATCCCCCTGTTATAAAAGACCAATTATAGAATTTACTCCATAATAATAATTAACTATTAATGTGGAGGATTATAGAATATATTCCTCCACTTATAAACATATGCTTAGTATTCATCTCTCATTCATTCAATGAATAAAGCGTAATTTATTATTTTTTATAGTAATTCAACAAGAGAAAACTAAATAAGGACATTATTTTTTGAAAAAAAGACGACGGTCGGAAATGATTGTTAGTTTCTGTTAGGGGTGGACACGGTACCGGTACGGTACCGTCACCGGCAACGGTACCGCCGGTACCCGCCACCGTCACCGGCAAGGTAGCCGTGTCATCGGTTCCGGGAACCGGTACCGGTACCGCCACTTTCGATACCGGTTCCGGTACCTATTTTTTGGTACCGGTACCGGCGGTACCGGTCCGGTTCCGGTACCGGTTTATTTTTTTTTTTTGTTGATTTGAAAATCCTGCAATTATGCAAAAAGTTAAAAAAAAAAAAGG